ATCCCTCGTTTGCTCCACATGACGCAAAACTCCCTCACAAGCATAGAAGAACGACGAATCTCTCCCATTTCACCTCAAGCACACAGTCTTCCTCTTTCAGGCTCTCATAACCCTAACAGGAAGCCGAAGCCCTGTCTAGTCGGCTGGTCCCGCACAAACCCATGCCGATCGACCCGACACTGTTCTCGTGCACTACTTCCGTCACTCCCGACCTCCCGTTTGCCTGCAGTCGAAGCCGATGTGTGACCCAAATCCCACTCCGACCTTCGAAGCCGTTTATCTGACTCTGACCGCACACGAGTAGCTTCTCCATTGTGACCAAGTTGTGAACCCGTCCGACCTAGCCAACTCTGATCGGCAACGCCCAATCCGCCTCACACATCAACACCACACGTGTGCTTCTCCGCCTCACCCATGGACAGCTCTGATTCCACCCGAACCCGCAAGATCTTGCTCATTTGTTTGAAGTAGTGAGTGATGAGAGGGAAGAATGGGGGTTTATTGTATGTTGTTATTATTAATAAAATATTAATAATTATTATAATGATAAGTAATGATAAATAATAATAATAAGTATTATTATTATTATTATTAATGATAAAAAAAGATAGGAAAGCGCAACAATCGTCAAATTGGAGAATCGAAGACGTATTCCGGGGTTGATATGCCCCCCGAAGCTCTTAGTCATGGATCTAATCCCGGCCGAGCGGACCTAAAGGGCAAGTGCCCTCCTTAACCTCTCCTCATAGGGAGGGGGTGCTGGAAGACTGCTGAAATTTGAGAAAAAAATATCATATCGTACAATATGATATGTATATCGTATAGTACAAACAGTTATAAAAAATTTCCTATTCGTCTGGACAAAAAGATATCCCAAATTTTCAAACTCTTGATCATCCCAGACAAACAGTTCAAAAAATTTACTAGTATCTATGGATTAAATTGTTCACAATATTTTTATACTCTAGATACCATATGTACGAACTATAGATCTTCCCGGACAAATAGTTAAAAAATTTTACATGTTCGTATGGATAAAAATGTTCATAATATTTTTATACTCTGGATGTCATCTATACGAATCCAAATTCATCCAGAATGAACAATACTTAGAAATTTTTTTTCCCATCTATGCTTTGATTAACTACTTACTGGAGGAAATAATTGAACAAATCATCCCATAAAGGTGCTAGTTCATTTTATGATGCTATGGCCACACAATCTCAAGGTTCGTGGCACTTGGGTCTATTTTTATACTAATATATATATATATATATATATATAAATTTTTCATGATAAAACATTTAAATATAAAACTAGAATAATTGATATTAGATTATTTTACATATTATTTTCCAGTATTTAGTTAGATTTTTAATGTAAATTCATTATATGATATGTAAAAATATTAAATACTCATCCAATTATTAGCTTTTTGAATTAACATTTTCTAAATAAGCATTTGTAGAAATTTTACACCGATATCATTTGATCCTCTTTAATTGTACACTTGTTTTTCTTTAATAACCTTTTGTATCTCCCACTTCTCTAACAAGCCTCCTTACATAAGGTCTATTTCTAGACTCTTCTAAACCTAATGTGAGAATCTTCTACGAGTCATTATATCCCTTATTTGATTTTGTTCATTTGAAGAGTTTCAATTAATCTCTTTTAACAACCTATTTTGAAAGATTAAAAATTTTGTATTTTTCAAGTTTTGACCATCTTATTCTATAGGATTTTTTTTATCCTTATGCTTCTAAGATATGCATCCATTATTATTTTATATTGTGGTTAAGTTTTCTCTTATAATTGTTTTACATTATTTGCAAAAATGATTTATTTTCTTCAATGCGAAAAGAAGCCTATAACTTTTAGAAGTAATTAAATGTTTTTTTTTTTCATTTTTTAAATCATGTATTCATTATCACTAGATCATAAACTTCTGTGAAATCAAATATAGCTTCTCTCACGCATTTTAAATTCTTATTCCATACCTTCCATGAATCCTTTCATAACCAATTTTAAATTCTTATTCCATACCCTCCATGAATCCTTTCATAACCAGCCATTTTAAAATCTATATATCCATTTAACTCAAGCCAATAATTGTTCTTTTTATTCTTGCATACATTATAATAGCTTATCAATTTCTATAAAATCTATATATCCATTTAACATATATTGTAGAGCATTAACAACATTCATTTTTATAATGTCTTCTTCTATTAAAATGTAAATTCTATTCCATACTCTTGATGCATCCTCTGATTCCAACCTTTTAAAAACATATATGTCTATTTAAGTCAATTCAGTAATTATCCTCTTTTATTATTGTATGCTTTTTAGTAGCTTATCCATCTGTTCCCATAATGAGTTTTTCAAACTGTTTTCTAATTCAACTTGATGAGTGTAAGCAATAATTACATTTATAATGTTCTCATTAATAATTAACTTAATAACAATATCCTTGATTAACTCTATTCATCTCATCAATCCTATCTTTCAACTCTCTATCTGCTATGATCCTGGCTCATTTCAATTTATAACTTTATTTATGATCTTCTCCAATGTCCTTTGATTTTTTTTTTTTTCATTTAGTTTTATTCAAACAGGTGATATCAATTTTTCTTCTAATCGCCATGTCCACCAAATCTCCTTTCTTCTCATAAATTCATATAGCAAATTTACTTGTAGTTTTAGTCATAGTTAACCCATTCTCATTTTTCACTCTTATTGGACCCTTTCTTACTTTTCACTCTACTTGGGTCAATGTGAAGCATCACTTGTGGATGACATCCTTACCAATGGATGCCTTCCTTTCTTTACAATCGAATTACGTTGTGTTATATCACTTATACGTCTTAGTAAACTCTTACCTATTCGTAATGGCAGTTGAGCTAGATTGTGGACTTTTACTATTTGGGAACCTCTCAACACTTGCAAAATTCAAATTTGTATTCATATCATTAATTCAAAGGAGCAAAAATTTAGGTTTTCTTTATTTTAATTTGGAGGTTATGAGTATGAATTACTTAAAATCATTGTTTAAAATTGTGTAATATGAGACTCGCCTCAGCACAATTCCAGTGAAAAATGCCTCGAGGCTTACACCTTGATATTTTTTTATGAGGCTTGCTCTTTAGCTTGCTTGAGGCCCACCTTGAGGTGCACCTCATCTCACTGGATTGATGCGTACGCCTCACTCTATATATTATTATTATTAAAACTTATCTAAATCATAAACTAAAGCTCCAAACAAATGATGCCTTCATGCACCCCCGAGCTGCAATAACTTCCTCTCGACTGCTTTGACTTCCAGCTCGCTGCCTTCTTAACAGCCACCACTGTCATAGCTGTCGTCGGGTATCATTTAAAAGCCACACACCACCACCTCCTCATCTAAAAATTTTGGAGTATTACTCTTTTTTATGTTAATGAAAAATATTTATGAAAGAGAAAAATGATTTAAATAAATGAAGAAGAAATTTGAAGTTGAAATTGATTTTATATGATAATTTTATGTTGTTTTTTCCCTTGTAATATTTGGATTTCAGTTCTATTTTGTACAATTTATCACTTATCACTTTACATCTTGTGATTTTTTTTTCATATGTATGTCAATCTGTTACTTCACAGCTCAATGGAAAATTAATAATATGTCATCGTTTAATATATTATTTGGGTATTATATAAAAAATTACTTTTAACCTTTATTTTTTACTTTATGCAATTTTTGAATTTTGAGGCTTGCACCTCAAAACATCATGAGGCTTACGCCTCACCTCACTAACAAAAACACATCAATACCCAATTGTGCAATTTTAAGCCTTGACTTAAACCTTTCTTATGAATTTTAGTAGGAGATTTTTGATTGCCTATTGGCCTAACATCAACCCTTAACCTCATGTATTTAATTATAGGTCATTTGAAAAATTCTACTCATTTAAAATTTTAATTATTAACTCATGCAAACAAAACTATTCATAGAGAACTTTGATGCATTTGATTGATGAGCGTATCATCAAAAGGGTTCTGGAAATTTGTATAACTGGAGGGCAGAAATAGGATCACAATTTTAGGTTATTTTTATTTCAATGTCGGTTAGGGATGTGAATTACGGAGATCTCTCCATACCAGTGGTTATATTAGTTGAAACTTGAAACTCATTCTAATTGAGTCTATTCAAAATCGATTTGATTCATTTCAATTCAATTCATAATTTAATTCTTGGCTTCAACAAAATTTTAAGCCTGAGGCGTCTTGTATGAAATTTGATATGAATCAATTTGAATTTATTTAATTCATACATATTAATATATATGAATTATACATTTTTAAATATAAAATATTGTATTATAAGCTATTTAATTTGGAGTTGTTTGGAGCTTGTTTGGATTATGGAAATAGTATAATGCATTTTGTGCTAATATTATCGAGTCAAATGTAAAATGTTTTGAGTCGGCTTGGTATCTGTCCCTTTCATGTTGACTTTAGCTATAATTGAAACATGATTTGCGTTTGTGTTGATTTTAAGTCATAGCGAACTCACAAATTTTGAGTAGAGCCGAGCCTAAATTGCTCGAATTTGACTTCATGCTACTACTACCTCTCTACGATGTAGGATCAGGGAATGCACATAAACCCTTCTAGTATGCTACATTGTTGCAGGTCTCATTCATTGGTCATAGCACCAGTTGGTTTAGAAAATATTTCCTGTGCTTTATTTATGATTTGTTCTTTTGGTTGAGCTGTTTGATCTTGAGCGGGGAAGACCGAGAGGTATATCAAAATAATGAACCATTTGCATGTTTACTTGAACTTTGCATTTTGAATTTTGTGGCTACATATAGCTTGAAGTTCAATCACTTCTTGCTTCAGGAATGAAATTCATTAATAAAAATGACTAGAATCTTCGTATTTAGAATTTTTGAATAACTTAGTTTCTTCTATACTGTTTTCAGTTTGGAATATAAAGTTCTATATATTTTAAATTTCAGATCAAGTCTTTTCTAAGGGGTGAATCCATGCCATTTTCCTCTGGTGAACTAGAAGGAATACAATGCCTTGTTAATCTGCATGTTAAAGTTGCCAAGAAGCTCCAAAGCAGCAGCCTAAGATACTGGTTATTGGAGTATTTCAGAAGACAACCAAGAGAAAGGAAGTTTGGTGCCTTAATTCTTCGGTTCATTAAAGATCGAACTGCTTCTCTGCTTCTTATTGAGGTATTTATATGGTATCAAAAAAAAAAAAAAAAAAACCTGGCACATTAAGATGGCAAAATTAATGGGAAGCTGTAGCCTGTTTCCTTGGTTATGAGATTGGAATATAAAGAGTCTAATCGGAACAGAGATTTTCTCCTAAAATGTTGAATAACTTTAGACTTAGGGTCTCTTGTGAAATTTTCTTATCCTTGTAGAGTTTTTGTTGGCATTATTTGAAGCCATGAGATTTAGGTCACACAGACACTAGAGGCATTACAACTCTTGTACCAGGCTTCAAATAATTTATGCTTAAAATCCTAAAATCACTAAATGCTATGTGAATTGCTAAAGTGCAAGTAAAAACAAGCCAGATGCTATATGAGTCAAGATTCCAGCAATATTCAAGAAGAAAAGTGAAAAAATTAGATTGAAACATCGTCACTCCTGCATTTATGTAGAAACTAGCAAGCTACGCAGTGCAATATGAAAGACCATATTTATGAAAGTAAATAAAGCATGACATCATAGTACAAATTTATATTTAGAAGATAACATATTTCATGGAGTTTCATATTTGTGAATGAAGAAAGAAAAGTACGTAAAGCTCATAACAATGAGAGATTTCTACAATAAAACAATAAAGTTTATAAAAAAAAAAAAAGAAAAAAAAAATGAGAACCCTTTATTATATGCATTCTTTCTAATAACGTGATCACCTAACATTGGAAAACCATTTGTTTGTGAGATAGAAATTCATTTTTATCAGTTTTGAAGAACCAATTTGATTTCTTGCTAGAAAGATTTATTATTAAAGTATCTGTTGTGCTAAGACAATTAATAGAGAAGTTCAATAACAATAACAACAACAAATCTTTATCCCACTACATGAGATCGGCTACATGAATTCCTTTTCTCCATCGTGTTCTATTAAGAGTTAAGTTCTTATTTAAATATAATAAAAAAGATAAATTTAATACTTTATAACTAAGTCTTTTTAGGTATAACTCTACTTTTCTTAATATAGGTTGGCTCTTATATATCTACTCTCTCAATAAGGCATCAGAAGACCGATGCTTTATGAGATCAAACCATCTAAGACGAATCTCTAATCTTATCTGCCACTGGATTTACGCCAATCTTTTCATGTATATGCTCATTTTGCATTCTGTCTTTAAGTGTAAAGCTGCTCACCCAGCTGAGCATCCTCATCTCTACAACACTTAATTTTATGCTTCTCTTTTAATGCCCGACATTCTACGCCATAAAGTATTGTAGGTCTCATTTCCATCTTATAAAATTCTTCCTTAAGTTTGAGGGGTATTTTTTTATCACACAAGCAACTTGATGCATTCCTCCACTTTAGCCATCCAGCTTGAATACTAATAATAATATCCTCATCCATTTCACCATTATTTTGAACAATAGACCTGAGATATCTAAAACATATGCTCTTTTTAATGATTTGATCACCCAATGTTAAAATCCCATCACTAGATCTATCACTAAAATTACATTCCATTTTAGCTCTACCCAAACGAAAACCTTTAGGCAATTAATAGAGAAGTACATGGAATTAAAAAATTTCCATATAATTTTTATTGACTTAGAAGGCATGATCGAGTATTACAGGAATTGGTTTGGACATTGAGGCAAAGATGAGTGTCCAATCTATGCTCATGTTATTGGAGATATTAATGGTAGAGTATTAATTGATATTAGTAATCATAAAGTTACCAAAGAGTTTCAAATTTATATAGGATTAAATCCCAAAAGGATCCCTAATTATTCATCTATGACCAATTTAGTCTCAGAGTATCATTTCTCCAATTTAGTCTATTAATTGTACGAAATTGATCCCTAATAGTTCTTTTGCAGTTAAATTGGGATCAATTTTTATGAATTACAAGAGACTAAATTGGAATTTAGTTTTGCATCTCAAATTTCATCAATTTTTATGAGGGGCTATTTGGGATTAATATTGCTTAATTGAGAGACTAAGAAATATGATACCCTGAGCTTAAAGTGGCCACACACTAAAGGTCGAGGGACTTTTTTGGCATTTGTTTATATTAAAGATTATCATTTAGTTCTTTTTTTCTTGCATTGGTTATAGTGATGGTTACTAATGATGGCCACCCAAGGCCTTGGTGTATATTTTTTTCGAAGTTGATATGGTTTTAATATGTACATATATAATGACACATTCAATTGTGCAGAAAATATTTACAAGGAAAGGTAGAAACAATTTATTATTGAAATAAATAATATTCAAATTGAGCCTTTTGTAAGTAGTATGCATCAATAAAAACATATTTTTAATAATTATTTTATTTGGTTTAAATATATGAAAATAGCCATGCTCCTTTAAATAATGCAAAAGTCTTGCATTCATTTACATAATATTGGTCTAGACAAGGATTATCCATTTTATATTAATTGCATAGTTGCACGATGTAAAATCCAAAATAATCTTTTTCATTTTTTGATCAATGTGTATGTCATAACTCATGACATCATATGAATAAAAAGTAGTGTAGTATACACTAGGAATACAACTGCCAGGGAAGATTAATTTATTTTGTTGTATGTTTTAATATTGATTTTGACTATCCTAACATGAATATGATAGTTCAATAAAAAACAATTTGGTATGTGATAAACAATACAAATATGATATTATTCTAATTGAGTTTAGAGGTGGCATTGGAGTAAAACATGTTGGCGAATTACGTAGAAATGTCTCAAATGCCTATATTGAAGGGTGAGGAAAATAATGACTAATAAAGATTCTAAACAATGTTCAGAATTTAGTTCCAAATCATTACTTGACTGCCTTGATGGAAGATCACTCAACTAAAATGAAAAAGACTAATTAGGAAAAGTTGTTTCATTAGTGCCTGTCTCGTGCTTCCTTTTACTATTTACTTTGTTCTTCACATCAAATTCTTTGTAGTTTGTGCGTCAAACACTTCTTTTGACTAGTATGATCAACCACCAGGAAATTTGTGTCATAATTTTTATTTTGTTCAATTTAGATTTTAGCGTTGTGATTTTATTTGGTCGTGTGTGTGTGTGTGCGTTTTTTGTTTTTGTTTCATTTTTCCTGGTTTGAGAATATTCAAAATTATATTAGAAATATGCTCAGGAAATCACTATTTTGTACATGCATTTTCTCTATGGCTTCATGAGCCTATGGACTGACTTTTCCAGTAGCTCTAATTTCTATGTTAGAATATTATAATTTTATTTTCATAAGAAAATGTAAATGCACAACATCAGTATATCACCACTTAGGCTTCATTTGGGACGGCTTTCTTGCTGCTTCTTAAAACAGCTTTATAGTATAAATATTTTTCTATTTTTTAACTAGAAATCAGCTTTAAGAAGCAATAAAAAGCCGTCCCAAACAAAGCCGTAGTAGTACCATTGTTGTACTAACAGTAGTATAACATGACTTCGACTTTGCTTGATTATGGTAACAATGATGATCAGCACATTGTGGATGTAATAACTAAGTGCATCACATTTTTTGAAATATTGGCCGACAGGGCTTGTCCGGGTATACATGGAACTGCTACTTTGATTTGTATTTCTACAAGTTTTAACTTGTCCCCTTTCAAAAGCTCTACTTCCCAAAATTTTTAACCTGCATCAGGTTTTGCAGTTTGTCTAATATTTGTAAATGATTATGACCTCTTATTCTGTGTTTTGTGTAATATATTCTTTTGCTTATCTTTTGATTTTTAGGACATATTTATCAATATTTGAGATATATAGATATTTTCACCTCCACATCTCTTAGGAGCTGTTGGGATCACTTTTTTTGTTTTGTTTGGGCTTGTTTATGTTTGGATATAAAACAAAAACCACATTTGGTATCTAATGAAGTTTATTTTTGCTTTTGTTGGGGTGATAGTTAGTGGTGGTTGTGGCTGGCAGTCGTTAAATATGGGGTGATTTTCATTTTTAAAATAATGGAAATACGCAAAATAGTTTGATTTGTTCTAAAAAAAAAAAAAGAAACAGTTGAAAAATACAAAGCAAACATGCTTAATAAAAAACAATTACAAAAACAAGAATAGAAATTGATCTCAAGCAGCCCTTTAGTTAATGCCTTTGTTTCCTCAGTGCATCGAAGGAAAGGAGGTTTTGTCTGCATGTCTTCCTTCTTATTCTCCTGACCTATTATATTATTTATGCAGGTGGGAATTCAAGCTTGTGCGTCTGTTTCAGCTGGAAAGCAAATCGGGGATAAGATAGAGGTTATCATTGAAGAGGCTCATCCCCGTGATGATGTTCTCTCAGTTAGGGAGGCTTAGGGAAACAACACGCTCATTGACCTTTACAGGAAAGTCCATTGTTTAATAGTAAGCCAGAAGTTCTTTAATCTTTATATTCATATAAGTCAACAAATTGCAATATCTCCATTAATGGGCATCTCCAACCGAAAATCTCATTTTTTACTCCAAAATACTGTGAAACTAAAAAATGACGTGATTCATCTCCAATCGAACTCCATTTTGTCCCCTTTTGCGAAGGTAACAGTCTTTCTCTTCTTTCGCGCGTTTCTTCGGCAAGTTCGATAGAGACAAAAAATGATGAAGATGAACAGTGTAACACCAATATTGTCATCCCATTGTTCACCCGCAACCAAATAACGGAAGTTTTACCGTTCGGCTGGAGCTCGCCAGCGACGACATTCAAGCGTTTGGAGTTCGGTTGGAGATGCCCTTACAATGATAATGGATGATTATCTCAACAGTACCAACAACATAGGTATAATTCTTATTTGATCTGTGCTTCCCCTTCATAAGTTATCTGACCATCTTTGCAGGCTTAAAAAAATATTCCATTCCACAAATGAGATTTTGGTAGCTTTATTAGCAAGTCGCAGGCTGATTGATGACTAGTCTTCATAAAAAGTTCAGTTTCAGCTTGAAGGAGAAGTGAAGGTTTGAATAGCTCTACATTCTACAAGAAATCTGACGTGGCTTGTTTCCTACGCCATAACATTCAAGAATCTTAAGCAGCCACAGCACTGGAATTTACTTCAAATGCTATAACAGAAGTATTCAACCTTTGTTTGAGAAGATTTATGAGAGGGTTATGTAATTGAAGATGAATTAGTTTTATGGATCTTGTATCTGAGGGTTCCTAATTCCTATCAAGGGATTTTGTTTTCTAAATTCTGGAGGGAAATTATTGTTAAACTCGCTATGGTATATAACAAACATTTGTTTTGTCTTAACAGCTCTGTCAATTTTGTTTTTGGCCGCTTAGTAAGTTTTTTTTGTGTGTAGCATATTTCTGTATCTCTGGCCATTATTTGCAATTTTACATTTGCGATTTGAGTTTTTGGAGCTAGGTTTTTTTTTTTTTACAAAAAATATAATTTTATTCATAGGAGCACAGGATTACAGGACTGATAGCAACTGAAAGAAAACAACAGAAAATCAAAACGAACAACAAGATGTGAAAGCAACAATATTCAGGAGAAAGAACAACAAGATCGGAATCGAACTCAGGTATGGAAGCCCCCAGCACCAGCTCCGCTACCAGCCACGGACCATTCATAGGTGAGAGCCCCAGAACACCATAGCCACCAATAAAAACCCGAAGAAAACCCCGGTTGCCACAGGCTAAGGCAGCAGGGGGAAGCAGGGGCTTCCTCATCATTCTCCATATAACCCTCGAAAAAGACATCCAATATGAAAAAGGAAATAGCCATAACTTAATACTTCTTGCTTTTACCTCTCCTCTTACCACCACTCTTACCATCATTTGGACGACTAAAATTAATAGTCACCTTCCCCTCAACATCAACGAATTCCTCTTCATCCCCCCATCAGAAGAAGAAAATGAATCATCCAAAACTAACCAATCGGTTTGATTCAGAACAGAATTCACATACTTTTTCACATGAGACTTCATTTCAGTGTTAGACATAACAGAGATTGGGACATTAATAAAAGTGACATCTCCACCCGAACTAGCTATGAACATAGGCGAAGCCACAAGAATAGGAATCGCACAATGAAGAGGGGAGGACACAACACAACCAACCAACTCCACGGGGTCAGATGGCACAACATCCCCAGAAACCTCCATAGATAGGCTAACATTAAGATTAGTACCACATGAAAACTCTCTATCCGCACCACCAAAAAACCGATGAATAGGAGAAATAGGTTCCACGGCCACCTCAACAGCCTCAATAAGAACCAAAGGAGAAACTAATTTATCCCCTAATAAAACCTCATCACTTCCGGCGATAGTAGGAGCCAAACCAGGTTCGAAAGAAGCTCCCGGGACATTAACACAAAATAAGGGAGGGGGAGATAAAGGAACAACAGTAGAAATCACCAGAACAAGAAGAGAAGACGCAACCCCAACAACAGGTTCCACAGCAGGTTCAACTTCAGACTGCACAACAGGCACCAACGCCCCCATCGGAACCCCACCCTCAACACAATTGGAAATTGAATTATCTGGGCGTGTAGGGTGCAGCGGTTCACACTCTAATTTGGAATGGCTAATCGACTTACAACGACCACAATATTTAGGAAATTCTTCCATTTCTACCGATTGAACATAGCCAAGTTTTTTCGGTCCCAACCAAATATGATCCAGATATTATTTAGTAATATCCAATTTGACGAGCACACGAGCCACAAAGGGACGAGAGCCAACAGTCGTAACATTATCAGTTTTGAGGGATTTGCCAAACAAAGATCCCAAAGCATGTAAAATGAGGGGAGAGAAAAAAATGTGGCCGCAGATTAGGAAAACAAACTCAAATGGGTATAATAGGGGATTCAACATTAACATCAACATAAGGAGACCACTTAGTAAGCTTCATATAACAATTAAGCACAAAGTATGAACGATGTGCAAAAACCCTACTATAATCTAAATCATTGCTCAATTTAATCAAGGTATGCTTAGCATTAAGCACTGTAATAGAGAACAAACCATTGAGTTTAAGATTAAAGAAAAATTTACGAATAGTATCGAGGGGAGGCCGACGATCCAGGAAGAAACCGACCAAGGAAAATTCGAAAGGCACCGCCAACGCGAGTACCTCCTCTTCAAAGACCCAAAGAGAAGGAAAACCACGGTGTGTAACCGCTTTAAGCTCGGGAAATGCAATCGGGTGGAAACAACAGAAAGCACCTCAAGAAAGGAATGAGAAAATGATTTATTGTTAAGGAAATCAGGATCCCGCACTCGGATGACCGCCATGCCGACCGGGGACGGCCGGAGGAGGAAAAATCACAACAAAACAAACAAAACAAGAGACAACAACCACAATAAAAATGCAAAAAACCTGGACATTAGTGGCCAGAGGAGGCCAAGAACGGCCGACGGCCTGCTAAGCACAAACCCTAGCAGAGCACACGGAGCGAGAATATATATATATATATTCGTTTTGGAGCTAGGTTTCTTTAAGTATATTTGTTTATGAGATTTAGGCTTCATTTGGGATGACTTTCTGATAGGAAACACATGAAGATTTCAAGAATTTTCTAGCAATATTTGAAAAACAGCGAGAATTCTCCACAAAAATCTACACAAAATCAAGAAAACAGTAGATAATTTGTATTATTTGATGAAATGAAAAAGGAAAATACCAATGTACAATTGATCTTCTATTCAATAGGAGGATCTTTCTCTCCCCAATCTCTAGACGCCGTTAGAGCTCAAAAACCTAAGAGATCTCAAATTTCAGCCAAATTCAAGATTCTCTAATCCTAGGAAAAAAATATTTAATGTATACAATCCAAAAGAAAATATCTAAACAATTTCTACAATTAAATTTCTCTCCTAGACTTCTCTTAAAACATTCCTAATATGCAAGTGATTGAAATCAAGCTCAGGAGCTAAATTTCAAGAGTTTATAGTTAATTCAAACAAAATAAATATTATGAATACTTGCTTCTATAACTACAATCGCTTTCCAAATCATTAACATTCCTGTCACTCAAAAATCAAAATAGAATCAATGCTCAAAATGCTAATAAAAAAAAAGTAAAGGGGATTTACATGCAAAGCAGAACATTTTTATATATTTATACTTCTATTATTTAAATATTTATAATTATTTATATAACAATTTTATGTCAAAATTATATCCACTGATTAGCAAATAAAAAAAAATCAAAATGATCCTTCAACTCTTTGTAAGGAACCAAATGATCTCACAACTTTTTCAAGGAACTAATTTAATCTCTCAATTTTTTAAAATAAAATATTTTTTATCCTAACCTTCAATATTGAAGTTAGTGGTATTAAACATAATAATATTTTAATTATTTTAATTAAATATTTGTTAAATAAAATTGTGAAAATTTGTAATTTTTTTCTTCTAAAATTGTATTAAACATTTTTTTAATTAAAAAATTTAATAATAATTTTAATTTTAATTTTAAAAATTTTAACCAAATTTTATAAAATATGAATAATAAAAATATGCAACTAAATTAAAAATAACATTTATTTGCATTTCATTTCTCTAAATCTAAATCAAAACATCATATTTTATAAAATATAACTAAAATTTTAAATTAAACTAAAATCATTAAAAATGTTAAATAATTTTTTTAAATTATTACTTGAAAATTATTTTTTAATAAATATTTAATTAAAAATAATAAAAAAATATCCTTACATTTAACATTTTTAACTCCAATATTAAATGTCATGGTAAAAAATATCTCATTTTAAAAAATTAGAGTATTAAATTGGTCCTTCACATCACTCACAAAAAAGTTGTGGAACTATATTAACTGTTTTTGTTATCAAATCCATCCTTTCCATAATTTGCATCCTGACACAATTTTAGGTACAAACCCAAATAGAAAGCAGTGATGCCGCAAGTCCAATTAAGGCTTCGTTTGGTATGACTTTTTTTTATGCTTCTTAAAGCCGTTTTTTATAAATTTTTGTACTAGAAAACTACTTTGAGAAGCAATTAGAAAGCCGTCCCAAACGAAGGCTAACTCTAAATAAGGGGCGTGCCCACAAAGTTTCCAAAGAAACCAAGCAAAAAAAATACAGGCCAAGAGAAGAGTCACTTGAACCAAGTGATCCAAATAGCTACAGTATTCGCACCTATTTTAGGATAAAATATCAGGCAAATATTAAACATTTAAGCTAATCACCTTTTTCTTTTATTTGTTTTCCATTGCTGTAGCACATACTGTATGACTTCTTTTAGAGCAGCTTTACGTTCATCTTTGAAGTTCCAGAGTTCAGGCACGACGTATCTGCCACTTGGATTATACTTATTCATCTCCAATAGAGCTGTGGAAACTGCTTCGTATACTTCCTCACCAAATTCTCCTTTCAATGCCGTTAGTCTGTTGTCATCATCCTGTATGATTTCCTGCAAAATAACAACAAATTTTAAGTATTCATTACTATTGGTGCATACAATGTTTTTGCAACTTGATATTGAAATTTTTTAACCTAAAATTAGTGATGAAGGATGTGTTAGCATATTGTACTGTACACGTCATCTCTAACGTCTCTTTTATCCTCTATATATTGTTGCTCTTGTAAGGCTTAAGTGGAACACTTAATATAATTTCATTTTACTGTTTCTTGCTTCCGTCTTCCTGCTGTGTCCGTCTCTTTTCTTATATGGTATTAGAGCTCCTTCATGGCTGATCAAGAATCAGTTGCCTCTCTTCCTTCTTCCTCCTCCACCCTCTCTGCCTCTCTCTAGCCTCACCATCCCACCTCCCCTCAAATTCTTGATTTCAAACATCAAGAATTTAGTTCCTACTCAACTCACTGCAGAGACATATGCGATATGGCGCTTGCAAATCCTACAGCACTTCAAGGCGAATGGTCTCACCGGACATCTCACCGGCGAAACCTCTCCTCCGTCTGACAAAGATACCGCAGATTACAAATTATGGTATCTCATCGATTGTAATCTAATTTCTGCATTTTTCTCTACAATATTTCTGCATTTTTCTCTACAATTTTCTCCTCTGTTCTTCCCTATGTGCTGTCTTCTACCTCCGCTCATGACATTTGGTTGATTCTCGAACGCCGATTACAACCAACGAATCGTTCTCGAGTTATTCAACACAAGAACGAACTTCATCACATCAAGATGAAGAATCTGTCTATGCAGCAATATCCAGTCCAAATCAAAACAATCGTTGACAACTTTGCCTCATCCGGTTCCAAACTCGACACGGAAGACATTATTCTTTATATCCTCAACGGTCTTCCATCCAACTACAATTCTTTCAGAACCGCTATTTGCACATCTCTCCAACCTATTGATCTTGACACTCTCTACTCCCTCCTTTGTAGTGAAGAAATTAATCTCAACAAGTACTGCAAGATACATATTCCACTTCTAATTCTTTGGCTCTTTATGCGGACGGCAACAATCAATACCGTGCTCGTGGTCAACGCAAATTCTTTAACTCCAAGAAAACCTCCCCCAATCCGTCCGCAACTACATCTCCGTCCGTCACTCAAGATTGGATTCTTGATTCAGGTGCCTCTACACACCTAACCTCAGATCATAACAACCTTCATCAATTCGCCCACTACCAAGGCTTTGACACCATCTCTATAGCTAACAACAACAATTTGCCTATACAACATTCGGGCCAGGGTCTGCTTCCTCTTCCGGACACACCACGTAAGCTTCATTTACGCAATTTACTTCACGTACCTTCTCTCACCCACAACCTCATTTCCGTTTCCAAACTTACATCTGACAACTTTGTCTCACTCTCCTTCGACACTAACGGTTTTGTCATAAAGGACCTTCAGGACAATTGTCTGCTTCTTCATGGGTGCCTTCGTAATGGTCTATATCAAATTTCACAGTCCAACGACTCTCATCCGACTGCAATTCAAGCCAACCCATCCAAATCACATCTCTGGCATGCAAGATTAGGCCACCCAAACAACAACTCAATCTTCTCTCTAAACAGATTTCTGCAATTTTACCTGTATCTTCCTCTTATATTTGTACGACTTGTAATGTGGCCAAAAGCCACAAACTATCTTTCTATAAAAGTATCTCTAGTTCTGTTAAACCATTTGAATTAATTCACTCAGATGTGTGGGAACCAGCCCCACAACAATTTCTTGATGGTTTCAAATACTACGTTATCTTTATTGACGATCACACAATATTTTCTTGGATTTATTTTATGCACTCAAAGAAAATAGACATTTACAAAGTTTACTCACTTATGTAATCTCATTCACAATCATTTTAAAACCACACCTAAAACCTTTCGATCTGATGGCGGAGGCAAGTTCGCAAGCAATATTTTCAAAAATTACCTAAACGAACATGGAATAATTCATCAGATCAGCTGCCCGCACACTCCTGAACAAAATGGTATCGCCAAAAGAAAACATCGGCATCTTCTTGACCTCACTCGCGCTCTTCTTCATGCATCCAATCTCTCTCCCAATTTTTGGGCTGAGGCCGTTTCTACTGCCAATTATCTTATAAATCTTTTGCCCTCAAAAGCTGTTTCACTAAACGTTCCCTATAAACTTCTTAATGGAAACCCTCCAAACTACTCTCATCTAAGAACGTTTGGCTGCCTGTGCTTCCCTTGGCTTCAACCATATGCCTCAAACAAATTATCCCCTTGCTCTCAGGAATGCATCTTCATTGGATACTCTCCATCTCACAAAGGCTATAAGTGCTTCAACCTCGCAACTGGCAAGATCCATATCTCTCGGCACGTCGTGTTCCACGAACACATTTTTCCTTATAAAAACAATCTCACTTCACAAACCAAATCTCCTCACCCACACAGCACCTTCATTCCTCCTTCCCTTCTCATACCCCATTCCACTACAGACAATGCTTCCAATCTCAATACTTCCGATCAACTCAAATTCTCATTCAACCCCTCTACGGAATCCTTCACCATCCGATCCTTCTTCTGAATCCAGGTCCACAGCCTCTTCTCAACCTATTCCTCCTCATCCCATTCCTATACCCACTCATCCCATGCAAACCCGTTTAAAATCTAGCATCTCCAAACCCAAACAATTATTCACTTTGTCCGCTGCTATTCAATCTTTCTCCACTCCCACAACTTACGCTCAAGCAATCAAATCTCCTCACTGGCAGAATGCCATGAAGGAAGAATTTCTTGCTCTCCAACGGCAACGAACCCGCTCTTTAGTTCCATCTCCACCAAATCAAGAAGTTCTCAGGTGCAGATGGACTTTCAAAACAAAACGCCTTGCCAAAGGCTCGTTTAGTTGCTAAATGCTACAATCAACAGTTTGGAGTCAATTATACAGAAACCTTTAGCCCCGTCGCTAAGATGCCTACTATACGACTTCTTCTAATTCTTGCTCTTCAACGCAACTGGCCACTGCTTTAACTTGACGTCGCTAACGCCTTTTTGCATGGCAATCTTCAAGAAGAAGTATATATGCGCCAACCTCCCGGATTCATCGACAATCAATATCCAAACATGGTGTGCAAGCTCCACAAGTCCCTCTACGGTCTCAAGTAAGCACCTCGGCAATGGTTTTAGAAGCTCACCAACTTTCTACTTTCCTTTGGCTTCCGGTTTAGTCATTCCGATCCGTCTCTACTCATTTTTCATCAAAACCACATTCAACTATACATATTGGTTTACGTTGACAATTTTCTTATTACAGGTAACGACCCCTCCAAAGTTCAGTATCTTCTTTATAGCCTACAATCCAACTTAGCTCTCAAACAACTTGGAGAAATCTCTCTATTTCTTGGCATAAAAATACTGCGCACAAGAAACGGTTTCTTCCTCAATCAGATGCATTACGCCACACAACTACTTAAAACAGCCGGATTCACTGATTGCAAATCAGCCCTAACTCCAATCACACCGAAATCCAACAGCTCCTCCAGATCAACTCAACCATTTCACGATCCTACCTTATACCGCAAACTCGCAGGCTCACTCCAATACCTATCCATTACACGTCCTGACATAGCTTTCGCCACCAACTACATTTTCCAACACATGCAATCTCCCACCGTTCATGATTTTCAGACACTCAAACGTCTACTATGCTACGTCAAAGGAATGTTACACCTCGGCTTCCCCATCACCGCAGGTGATCTCCAACTCCGTGCTTACGCAGATGCAGACTGGGCCTCAGACTCCTCAGATCGAAAATCTATCTCTGGCTTCTGCATCTTCTTGGGGAACAATTTGGTCTCTTGGTCTGTTAAAAAGCAAGTAACCGTCGCCAAATCCTCCACAGAAATTGAGTACAGGTCTCTTTCCTCGGCCACTTCAGACGACTTATGGCTTAGACGGCTCATTGAAGAACTTCAGCTACCCCAACACTCTCCCACAATCATTCACCGTGACAACATCTCTGTCATCGCAATAGCCAAAAATCATGTGTTTCACGCACGTACAAAACATATCAAGATTGATTATCAATTCATCCGTCAACATATTACCTCCGGCAACATCACTATCGCTCATATCAACTCTTTGGAACAACCAGCGGACATCCTTACCAAACCTCTCTCATCTACTCGTTTTTTGGAGCTACGAAACAAATTAAACATTCAGCCAACAAATTTCAATTTGAGGGCCATGTTAGCATATTGTTCTGTACACGTCATCTTGACGTGTCATCTCTAACGTCTCTTTTATCCTCTATATATTGTTGCTCTTGTAAGGCTTAAGTGGAACACTTAATATAATTTCATTTTCCTGTTTCCTGCTTCCGTCTTCCTGCTGTGTCCGTCTCTTTTCTTATAGGATGGATCTCAGATGTGTATTCACGTATGCTTTCACATGTCTGTTGTAGGTATCTAGCAGATCATGATAGAGGAACTTGTCCTGCAAGATGATGATACGCATCTAGAGACTACAAAAAGACTCGCCTAGCTAGATTGATAGGCGTCACTCGCCTATGATCCCAAGAAACTTGACCCGCATGGGGCGACTTGAAGTTTCCTTGTCAGGTCCGCAACCTCGAATATGTTAAGACACCTTGATTCCACTATCAGCCACTCACTCTCCCTCGTAGAGATCGTCTTCCCGACCAAGCTAGCAATAGGAAAGAGCTTACCTTAGGTTCCTAATCCACCCTATTGTTGTCTACCTCAACTCAACTTGACAACCACCTCAGCTCACTCATCCGTTCCTTTACAATAACTTAGGGTTCATCACGATTACCTGAAATATGTAATATGAATGTCCTTTTAAAGTAATTTCGACATTGCTGATGCATGGGTGCAACCTGGTTTGTGAACGGGTGACGTTTAAGAGACTTTCATGTGACATTGCGTCTATTGGTAGAGATTTTTATTAATTAAATTTGGAATTCTAAACAAGCTAGAATGATTTGTTTCACGAACAAGCAACATTC